ATTCTACTTTGAGCTTCTAGTCTTTCAGGAATATTTCTCTTCCAGCGTGCACTGCCCTTGGCAAAGCAGCCCACTGTCCATAGGTGGAAGAAGTACTCAGATCCTTTACTTAAGTAAAAGTAAAATAGTAAAAATAGCCTTAAGTAAAAATAGCCTACCACAGTGTAGAAATACTCTGTCGCAAATCAGAGTCCTGCATTCAAGTATTAGAATCAAAATATACTTAAAGTACCAAAAGTAAAAGTAGTCATTATGCAGAAGTGCATATTTCACACAAGGTATATCACATTATTGTGTTCATCACTTTTGCAGCTGGTTATAATTTGAATTATTGCAGCGTAGTTTGTGAGCCTCCCACCAAGGATCAATAGTCTTATGTTTATACTGGGTTTTTGTTTTATTAAAATGGTTCTGAAAAGTAACTAGCAACGTAAGTTGAGCGTAGTAAAAAGTACAGTATTTGTCTCTAAAATGTTTTATCAATATATACATTTTAATGGCTTTTTTATTTGTGTGCATTGTGTTACGCACTATGAATTGCCTTTGTGTATGAAAATGTGCTGTATGTTAAAACCTGCCTAAAATGTAGTGAAATGAACAGAAAATAAAAAAAACGGTACCTTAAAAGAAGATGTATAGCATCTGCACACCAATTTATTTTTTCTTTGCTGAAATTAGTTTGGAATTCTCCAATATGAGTCTATAATAAATTAGCCTTAATGTTGTTAATACACATCAGTAGGGAATTGGATGAAATTAATCCTTTGTCCAAACAGTCACTTTAGGTTAGTGTGTTGGAAACCAGAATGATGCTGTATCTTGTTCTGCGTCCTTCACTGAGCATTGGCGTTTATTTGTTTATCACTTCTGTTCCTCTATTGATGCAGTTTGTCAGTTTGATGTGTCAGTCGATTTTTGAGACTTTTTTCTTAGAAATGATAATATTACAAACTATTTTACTATGTCACATTACTATATATTATTTCAAACTTCAACCTTTTTTAATGAAAGGCCATCACTGTCTGAATTTTTCCATCTGAGCCAGGATCCACACCATCAGGTACTTTGCCTTTGTCTCTCAGGTGACAGCCTTTCAGCTAAAGATCATGATGAATAGTGGCTAAAATTAGATTATTACATGGGCTTCATAAAACTCAGAGTACAAAAGGCTCAAAGTCAAATGTTTGGAAGTGAAAACAGAAGACTCCTCTTTGTGTCTTCTTTTTCTCTCTCGTTTCAGGCTGGCCTTTGAGTTCATTTTCATACCCTCACTCCTGGTTGTGTGATCAATGAGGACCGTACATGCGGTTTTTGAAGTTTGCACCACTGCAGCTGCAGTTGGCTAATTAACCTAATAGACCTGGTTCAGCGTTACTCAATCAATCACTGCAGCATGTGCTGCAGGCCGGTCCGTGCACATCTTTTGGCTGCATTTCACTGGTCTCAAACATAGTGTATTCAAAGATGGACAACACGTCACCATGTCATACCACTATGCAGAAGTGAAGCCAAAACATCACGGATACGGGCGAAGCCATTTTGCTTTTGTGA